CTTCCGGATCCGGGTGCCTAAACATGGACGTGCACCTTTGGAAATTCCGGATCCGGGAGCCTAAACAATGAGGACTGAGGAACTTCCGGATCCAAGACCCCAAAGATGGATGTGCACCTGAGGAACTTCCGGATCCAGGGGCCTAAACATGGACACCTGAGGAACTTCCGGTCCTAGAGCCTAAACATGGACGTGCACCTGAGGCACTTCCGGATCCGGGTGCCTAAACATGGACGTGCACCTTTGGAAATTCCGGATCCGGGGGCCTAAACATGGATGTCTGAGGAACTTCCGGATCCAGGGGCCTAAACATGGACACTTGAGGCACTTCCGAATCCGAGGACCTAAACATGGACATGTCTCTGGAACTTCTGGGTCCTTGTGCCTATAAAGGGGAGGGCGTGACTCTCAGAAGGGATGTGGTACATGAAGAGGAGCGGAGCATGCGGCCTGTTGGGAGGCTGACTCAGCTGTCGCACCCTGAGCTTGAATGTGACAGTGGCCTCACTTCCAGGCCTTCCCTTGGGTGTCACTTCCTCCCCTTCCAGGCGGTGCCGGGAAGGAAGTGAGACCAGGCGCAGGGGCCAGGCCCTGAGGAGGGACACCGTCTTTCTCCTCGCTTAGCCAGGTGCCCAGCCTGGCTGGGGACAGGGACGTCTTGTGACACTGGCTGTCTCCTGCATCCCTGCCCCAGGACCTCAGGGTCCACAGGCGGGGACAGTCGTTGATTCTCCCCTGGCCACTGACCCTCAGTCCCGGGGTCTGCCGAGGGAGGGCTCTGTCTCCCAGAGGGTCAGGGGGCCCCTGTGACCTGCTGCTCCTACCCACCATCATCCTGGGCGAGCACAGGTCAGGACACCAGACGCTACTGAGAGTGACATCTCCTAGATGGGAGGCTGGGGACTTTGCCTCTGTCCCCAGGCCTCGGACATTGGATGATCCCCCCCAGAGACAGAAAATAACCCCACACTGCCCAAGACTTACTTTTAAGCTTTGGGTTCTGAAATTTTCCTGCTGCCACCTTCTTCGTGAAGCCAGTTTTTCAACAGAGACAATATTCCAGGGGCGGGGGGGTGGGGGGACAACAACATGGAGTTAATCAAACCAAACTGACACATCTGGTCCTCCAAGAGAAATATGGATTGGAGGGAGAAGAGCCATTCTCAACTGGCGAAATAGTGAAGTTCCCTTGTCCTTATTTTGTGTAAAAAAAATAAATAATCTGATGTTAACTCATCAAATTATTTTTGATGAGTGCTTGGCTCACAGGAAAACTGATTCTGTTTTATGGAATGAAGTGTTACCTGATTTTAAAAATAAAAATGAAGCCAATTAGGATTGTTAAAAAATATATATATATATATATATATTACAAGAAAACTACAGGCCAATATTCCTCATAAACATGTAAGATTTATAAACAAAATTTTAGCAACTCAACCTCACCAATATATAAAAAAGGATAATATGTCATGACCAAGCAGGGATTAATACATGAATACAAGTTTGGTTTAACTTCAAAAATCAATGTATGTAAGGGCTGGGCATGTAGCTCAGTGGTAGAGCACTTGCCTAGCATGCACAGGCACAGGCTGAATTTTATCCCCAGTAAGGAAGGAAGAAGGGAGGGAGGAAGGAAGGGAGGGAGGGAGGGAGGAAGGAAGGAAGGAAGGAAGGAAGGAAGGAAGGAAGGAAGGAAGGAAGGAAGGAAATTAGGGATTCATCTTGATCTATGCAGCCCCTTTGAGTTCTAATTGCCATGACTTCCCCTGAGTAACCCTGGTCTGTTTTCCCTGAATAGTTTCCCAGCATACTATAATTTTTACAACCACTAAAGGAATATGTGGAGCTTTATGACTGGTCCCTGGTGCCATCAGTGCCAGAGATGTGCCTGATATCTTTGTTATTGGTTTAAGATAAACCAGGTACATTTTGATTTTAAACAAAGTCACTTTGACCATAGTCCCCTCCCTCCAAACCAAATGACAGGTAGCCACCTGTCTTGCAGCCACCCAAGACATGCTTCTGTCAGTAGATACCCCAGTAAACTGCACTCTATGATCCTGGATATGTCTGCCTCTTTCTTTAGTTTCATAGAGCCAGTTCTCATACACTGGGAACAGTTCTTTCTGCAAAGGTGAATTGCCATACTAACAAGCTAAAAATGAAAAACATATTGTCTTCTTAAAAGATATTTAAAAATCCACCAAACAGTCGTGACATAAATTCTCAATAAACTAGAAATAGAAAATAACTTCCTCAATATGATAAATGATATCTACCAAAAAGTTACATCTAAGATATTCATTCTCTCCAAATTGATCTCTAAATGCAATTCAATCTCAATCAAAATTCCAGGAGATTTTTTTTTTTTTTTTAGAAATTGGCAAGCTGATTTGGAAATTTATATAGAAATGCATTGGAGTTAGAACAGATAAAACAAAAACATTATAAGTCTCACACTACCTGATTTGAGCCTTATTATAAAGCTACTGTAATGAAAAGTGTATTATCATGGGACTAGGGTGCATAGCACATTGGTAGAGTACTTGCCTAAGACCCTGAGTTTGATCCCCCAGCACCAGAGAGGAGGAAAGGGGAAAAAAAAGAAGAAGAGAATTTTTCCACAAAGGTTCAGTGGAAATTCAGAGGAGAAAGAAAAGTGCAGAACAATTGAATATCCACATACAATAAAAGAAACTTTGCCCCAAATCTCAGAGTATGTTTAACATAAAATTAATTCTGGGCTGGCATGGTGACATATGCCTGTAATCCCAGTGACTCAGAAGGCTAAGGCAGGAGGATTTCAAGTTCAAAGTCAGTGTCAGCAATTTATCAAGGCCCTAAGCAGCTTACCAAGACCCTGTCCCAAAACAAAAAATAAAAGAGGGTTGGGGATGTAGCTCAGTGGTAAAGCACCCCTGGGTTCAATCTCCAGTACAAAAAAAAAAAAATCATAGGCCCAAACGTAAAACCTAAAACTCCAAATAATTTCTGAAAGACAAAATATAAGAAAATCTTATGACTTAGGTTAATTTGTAAAGATTTCTTACATACAACAACGAAAACATCATCCATAAAAGAACTAAATTATAAATTATATTCTTAAACAAAATTTAAAACTTTTGGCTTCAAACAACAATTAAGAGAAAGAAAAACAAATTCATGATATATTTGTATAGCATGCGGACAAAATATTTATACAGACACTTCACCAAAGGAAGATACACAGGTGGCATATAAGCAAATGAAACAATGCTACCTATCATTAGTTGTTAGGGGAATGCAAATTAAAACCATGGTGAGATACACAGAGAGTTGGTAAGGATGTGGAGAAACTGGAACTCTCATCCATAGCTGGTAGGAAAAGCAAAACTACACAGCCATTCTGTAAAAACAGTGTGGCAATTTCTTGAAATGTTAAACATACACATGGGGGAAGGGGGAAGCAGATGTCCATATAAACTGTTTTTCTTAAAGGACTCGTAATTTTTTATACCGTTATTTTATTTATTGATTTTTATGTGGTGCTGAGGATTGGCCTCACACGTGCTAGGCGGGCGCTCTACCGCTGAGCTACAACCCCAGCCCCTCCATATAAACTTGTACATGAATGTTCATGGCAGCTTTATTTGTGATAGGGAAAAAAAATAGAAAACCCAAACGCCCATCAACTGGTGGGCTAATGGATAAACAAACTGTGATATATATAAAATTTTATTGTGTTTATATATATAATATATATAATATATATATAAACACAATAGAATTTTATTCAGCAACAGTGAATTATTGATACAGCAGTATAGATAAGGTCAGTATAATAAAGCTCAGCAAAAGAAGTCTACCCCTCCCCCCAAAGTACATTCTAAATGATTTCATTTAAATAAATTTCTAAGTTTACAAAACTTGGAATCTAAAAAATCTATAGTAACAGAAGACTGATCATTACTGGTAGGAGATGGGAATGATAGCCTGATGGCGGTAGGAAACTTCTGTAGTTGACAGATGTGTTCACTGTTTTTGATTGTGATGATGGTTTCACAGCCCTACACATATCAGAAATCATCTTTCTTTCTCTCTCTCCCTCCCTCCCTCTTTTTCTTTCTCCTCCTCTTCCACCTAGCCCTCCTCCCCTCTCCTCCCCTCTTTCTCTTTCTTACCTGGGGATTGAACTCAGGGGCACTCAACCATTGAGCCACATTCCCAGCCCTTTTTTGGTATTTTATTTAGAGACAGAGCGTCACTGAGTTTCTTAGCGCCTCGTTAAATTGCTGAGGCTGGCTATGAACTCGTGATATTCCTGCTTCAGCCTCCCCAGCCGCTGGGATTACAGGTGTGTGTTAGGACGCCTGGTTCCTGCCATTCCTTAACCTCATTTTTTTCCCCCAGTTTTCCAGCCACTAAAGGATTTATTGCTGAGCTTCATCTATTTCTAAGGCAGCGGTTATCAAAGTGTGGTTTCAGGACCAGCAGGATCACTTGAAAACACGGACTTCCATCCCAAACCCGAGTCACAATCTCTGGAGGTGGGGTCCAGAGATCAGTATTTTAAGGAGGCCTCCACGTGATTCTGCTTACCCCTATTCTGAGGCAGGGGGGTGGTGGGGGAGAGCACGGTAAGAAAGTTGAATGAACGCTCTCCTGTGAATCTGATTACGTGAGAGAGGATGGGTTAAAAAGCGTGTGCGAGCTAACGAAGAATTCATTATTCGGTCAGAAAACCTAGCCAGCCCCTGAGAGCTTCCCGAAAGACAGCGGATTCCGACATTCACCTTAAGAATCTACAGACGGGACAGCAAGGGATCTGTCTCTGGCAGAGTACATAGCTAAGGATCTGCTGGTAGCAGCTCAGCGGATGTTCATGGGTTAATTCCAGGGAATCCGACCGCCAACCCTCGGTGCCGCCCTGCGCACGCGCGGCCACGCGCCATAGAGCTGAGCAATCCTCCCAGATTCCTAGAGTGGACAGGGCGATGCCTGGCTCGCTGCGGGTGAGTCTGGATAGGCAGCCGGGGAGATGTTCGAGGTATGCAAGAAGTCGGCCCACGCCAGGCCAAGGTGTCCCAGGTGATCTTGTCTGACAAGCGGTTTCCTGAGTCCATGGAGAGTCAGAGCCGCCAGGGTCGCTCCTGGGCACGGGGAGCTGTCGGTATGGGCGTCGCGTTCAAATGAATGAACGCCAGAAAATTCGGGGAGCTGGTGGAATCACGGGCGTGGAGGAATCCTCGCGAACCAGCCGACCGACCCAGCAAAGGGCTGCCTGAATTTGTGAGTGTTAGAAGGCAAAGGAAGGAAAGCGATCACGTTGGTGATCAGTAGTGACCATTTTGTAAAGGCAGCAAGTAACATATTCTTAACCACTGAGACAAATGCCAAAATTCTCTCCCCAGAGTTCTTTCCAGTTACCCCAATTTCGGTAGAATAACCCCCGATTTTGTTTTACTAGCTCTCGACTTGGAATGGGGAATGTATGTCCGAGAGGGCTAATGCTAGATTCCTGGATAATGGGAAGGAAATAAATGAATTCTAATAGAAAAGCATTTGGAAATTAAAATTTCGGTTTCTCCTTCCCTTCTTTTATATCTAGAGGCTGTGTCTGGTGGACTAGTCTCAGAAATTACATCTCTAGTTTGCACAGTGATTCCCTTCTGAGCCCAGTGGTGCCAAGTTGCCTCCAGGTCTCAGACCCTTTTGTGGACAAGAAAATCTTACAGAAGAAATGATAATTCTCCAGTTGCTCCCTGAGGTGTCCATATTCAGTCCATGGAGATCCAGTTCAATTGTGATTTTCAACAACATCACCTTCTTTCAGGTGAGGAGCAACATAGTTTATCTTAGTGTTTTGAGGGGATAGAATATTGCCCCATGCTGGTTTCTTCAAATAATATTGGTATTCTTCACTACCTATGTCTACACTGTGTCAGGCAATACTATATCTTTTAGTGCTTCAAGCAAAGTCTTGCATCTTTATCAAATTCTCATGCAGTTCCCTTTTTTTTTTTTTTTTTTTTAAGGACACGAGTCATCTATTTTTGCCTTTATGGTCTATCACCTTAGTACCAATCTGTCAATGTTTGGAATGTCCTCCTTATGATCTTTTCACATCATCTCTCTCATCTCCTATAGGGTCAAATTTGAACATTTGGAGTCTGCTGACATGGATCCAAATACTAGCTTTGTCACTGCCTCCAGTAATTTTACAGTTCTGTTTCCCCACTTTATAAGTGTATAATAGTTCATGTCTTGGGGGGTTTCTTGAGAATTGTGTCTATGTATTACTCCAAAATAAAGGACCCCAAAACTTAATGACCTAAAACATCAGACTTAATTTTAAGTTTTTAAAAATATTTTAAAAATATTGATGGCCCTTTATTTTATTTATTTATTTATATATGGTGCTGAGAATCGAACCCAGTGCCTCACACATGCTAGGCAAGTGCTATCACTGAGCCACAACTCTAGCCCCAACATCACATTTTTAAACCATATTATTTCTTATAGTTTGTAGGTGGCTAACTTGAGCTGGGTTCAGCTGGGCAGGTTTTTTTTTTTTTTTTTTCCTAATACTATCTGGGGTCATTCAGGAAGTCATCTAGTGTCTCTGATAGGGCTGGATCTAAGATGGTATCAATCACATGTGTAACTGTTGCTGTTTGTTATGGCTTGGATCATACATCATCAGCAGGCTAGCCTAGACTTTTTCACAGTACTCAAATTTCCAAACTCAAGGAAAGGGAAAGCTCTCTGATACAGAAGCACTTTTCATACATATGTTTGTGTTATATTTGTTAATGTCTCATTGGCCAATGCCCAGTTCCAGAGTAGTTGTGGAAGGGAAGTACACAAAGGTATGGAGATATGATTCATTGGGTTCTGTTACTACTATATGAAATACCATACACCCTAAATGCGATCCTATGTGTAAAGGTTGGAACAGACCTAGTTCGTAGTAAATCCTTTATAAATAGTGGCCACTTTTATTAGTAGTAAGATCATTTTGATCCTGACTTTGTTCAGAAGTGCTACAGGGTTCCATTTCTACATCATGTTACTTCTTTTTCATTTTGATTCTCCCATTGCTGTTGTTTGCTTGTGAAATTTACCTTGCATTGCCATTGCTTTCATTCTAGATCTGGCCTCTTTTTAGTCTCTGAGCATCTTTATTATATTTTATTTTATTTAGTTTCCTGAATTTAGAATTTGTCCTTCCCTAAAAATCTATTACAAGGCACCTCATCCTTTCTGAGAATCAGCGTAGAATTGGGCCTCTTCCTTGAAATTTTGTGTAAACATATTTATCCCATATGTTTATGTTTCTTAGAATGTGTAAAAAATAACACTTTTTTATTATAGAGTTATACAATTATACTAGAGTCCTTTTGTGAAGTATAGAAAAACACAGAACAAAATTTAAACATAACCTACAACTCCACCATCTAGAAGTAGTCATAGTTAACATCAATATATCCTTTATATCATTTAGCTAACTAATTCAACAAATATTTTCCATTGATAAATGTGTATTAATTAATAAAATCATAGCTTATTATTTCTTGTCATGTAATTTTATTAGTTATTGAGATTTTATTTTGTGCCAGGCACTGTTCTAAGTGCTAGGGATATAGCAGTGAATTGCTATATAGAAAAAGTCCATACCCTTATGAATCTTACATTCCAGTGGGGAAAAACAGAAAATAAATAAATGTACATTATGTTATCACATAATTATAGCAGTTACAGAGAAATTAAGCCAGGAGTATTAGGATTTTAGCAGGAAACATGGCTTATTCAGTTGAGTAATTAAGTTTTGTGAGAATGATGGCTAAGATTACAAAAATTATGGGGTTGAGAACAGCCTTGAGCATACAACAGTGGAAAGCCATTATTACATTTAGGAAGGGGAGAGATTGATTACTGTATCCTGGAGGATAGAACCACTTGATATGAACTTTGCCTTTGCTTAAAGAAATACAAGTATAGTTGGCTCTCCTTACCCTGGATTCCACATCCACAGATTCAACCAACTGTGGATCAAAAATATTTTGGGGAGAGCTGGGATTGTGGCTCAATGATAGATTGCTTGCCTGGCATGTGTGGGGCACTGGGTTTGATACTCAGCACTGCATAAAAATAAATAAATAATAAAGACATGTTGTCCATCCACAACTACCAAAAACAAATTAAAAAATTGAGGGGAGGGCTAGGATTGTGGCCTAGTAATAAAGGGCTTGCCTAGAATGTGTGTAGCAGTGGGTTTGAAACTCAGCACCACAAATAAAGAATCAAAATAAAGTCCATTGACAACTAAAAAAATATATATTAAAAATATTTTGGAAACAAACCATCAAAAATAATACAAATTAATGACTACATAGTACTTACATTGTATTACGTATTATAAGTAATCTAGAGTTGAATTAAAACATGGGAGAATGTATGTAGGTTATATGTGAATACTATGCCATTTTATATAATGGATTTTAGCATCTGAAGCTTTTGAAATCCAAGAGGGATCCTGGAAGCAATTCCCTGCAGATACTGAGAGAATGACTAGCTCAGCAAGAAAAAATCAAGGATTTAGGGTGGACAGCTTACCTTTTGGCTTGGTATTTAGCACTAACAGTCTCACATCCCAATAGTCCCTCAGTTTGGGCAAACTAGAACAATTGGTCTCTCAACTATTCTCTTCCACCATGCGACCAGCGCACTGGTTTCATTAAAGAGGTTCTTGGCATAAAAGTTAACTAGTGAGATTGAAATAAAACACACAGACTCAGTTACCTTTTTCTATGACCAGGTCCGAGACGGCTCCCCCTCTGGTTCTCACCTCGAACCACCCGGTAGGGCAGCAAGGATTACTCAGGGCTAGCAGGAGAGAGAGAGAGGGAGCACGCCAGGGAGTAGCCTTTTATTGAGGAACAAGAAATCCACGGGAGAATTCCATCCAATGAAGGTTGAGGGGGGCCGCACTCCAAGGTCAGGGTCAGTGATTGGCCCCCGGGGTCAGTGGGCAGTCACACCCCAACACGGACAGGCTCTCGCACCAGGAGAGGGCCGGGAAAGCTCCGACACAGTTTAGCCAGAACGCCTCAGACCCAAACTGGGAGTTGCCCAGTCACGTGTGAGGATGGCTCCCCACAATTCTCCTACTCTTGTACAAATTTAATTGCAAGCCAGAGCATAGAACCACAGGTTTTGCAGTTTATCAGAATTAATCCCCAGAGCCACAAAGCAAATATGAAGTAGATCTGGAAGGGGCTGGGGCTGTGGTTCAGTGGCAGAGCACTTACACACCTTCTTCATCTGTTGTTTGAATAGCATAAGGAACCCAAAATGGCCAAGAGGCAGTCTTACCTTCAAATTTAACAAAAATCATTACTTTGCTTCATAGTAGAAGCACTTCTCCTTTGAGTACTGGAAAACTCACCAAATCCAAGATTATGGAGATATGAAACAAAATAATACAAATAGATTATTAGGTATATGAGAGGAACCATTCTCTCTCCTTCTCTTTGGTTCCTATACCTCTTTATGTATTTTGGTCATGGAGAAAAAACTTAGTTGTCTTTAGTTTAGGAAATATATTGTGTCCTATAAGACATCACCCCAGATTTAGCCTTTAGCCATTATCTCAATCCACATACTTCTGGATGATGGGGCGTATAGATAGATTCATTTATTACACATATCTGAACTCACTGGTATACTTCTTTCCCTGATAAGATGAGTTATTTGGAGGCAATACTGTAAAGAATACCATAGTATTAAAAATATCATTCTCTTAAGTCAATACAAATTTGTATCTGAACTATGTATTTCGTTCTTTGAAAACAAATTTTTGCTGTCTATATGATATAAGTAGTCCAAAGTAAGGGATCTATCCTCTAAAGGCTAATTTGTTCTTCTCTAGGGAGTGGTACTTTTGGGCTGGGGGTATAGTATTCACTTTGAATATTGGCTGTTTGGGCACATAGCAGTGGTAACAGGAATATCAGCCTTGGAGAGGGGAAGTCCATATTGTTGAAGCCATATACAGCTTCCATTGCTGCTGCCATGACCACTCTGTACCTAAGTCCATTGTATAAGCATTGGAAGAAGGCTGATTGACATTCATATTATGGATCATTATGCCTAATTGTTCTAGGGGCTTCTTTCTCTACAGTAGATGCCTTTTACTGAGGATTCACAAGGAATACAAATATTTTCACATTCTTTGCTCATTCTAGGAAGTCCATCCTCATATTTTGCTTCTATAATCCTCATTTATGCTATTCCAATCTAATTCTTTTAAAGTAACTATATATTCTGATAACCCATTAGTAACTACCTAAAAATCATTGTAGGCATATTTCTTAGACTGTGCTGCCTTTCATGAAAAGTGGACAGATAACCACGTGTATACCTGAAATTCTGTCAACTGGAAAGGTTTGCCTTTATCAATGTATTTGATGCCATCACTAAGTAAGGGTATAAGTAAAAGCTTTGGGCTGGTGCCCACATGCTGCCAAACCCATCTGAAAACTGTTTAATTTCCGCTTGTCTGTTAACTAGTAACAGGGAACTCCTATAAGGCCGTTGAGAGAGAAGTAACAAAACCATATGAAAAAGTAATATGGAATCCAAATCACTTGCCCTTGGAATTTACTGCTAGTTAACTTTACAATGGAATGCTGGGTTTTGCATCATTTTTTATAATCGGTAACAAGTACACAATGGCCATTTGTAATATATAGCCACCTGGAACTCTGTGATCAAGCATTAAGTCTAACAGTGCCCAATAAATAATAAGCCAGGATTTGCTTCACATAAAAAACTCTTGTCAGAAGAGGGAATGGCTCTAAGCAACTTCATGAGACCCACTCTGTCTTAAAAAAAAAAAAAAAACAATGGAAAGGTTTTGATTTCCTTTTCTTTCTTTCTTTCCTTTTTTTTTTTTTAAATTAATACCTTATTTTTTGGCCCAAATAGCCGCACAATGCTGGGTAGAGCCCAGTCAACTTCTTTTCATTTTTCTGCACTCTTTCACACTGCTTACCTTAAATATGTGAATAAAATAAATTGCTTGTGTATTAGCTCTAATTTAGTCATACTTTCCTAATCAAAGTAAATAGGTTTCAGTGTTCCCAGATGTCCTTTAACAATCATACAGAGCACATCTGGTAAGTCACTTCTATAAGTGATTAATATGATCCATTACTATTGTTTCTTCCCAGTTTTCCTCTCAGAGGGTATTTTCAGGCTGGGTGCCATGGCATATACCTATAATTCCAGCAGCTTGTGAGGCTGAGGCAAAAAGACTGTGAGTTCAAAGCCAGCCTCAGCAAAAGTGAGGCACTAAGCAACTCACTGAGACCCTATTTCTAAATAAAAAATACAAAATAGAGCTGGGGATGTGGCTCAGTGGTCAGGTGCAATCCCTGGTGCCAAAAAAAAAAAAAAGAAGAGGGTAATTTCAGCATTCCCATATTGTTATATTTGTAATCTGTTTCACCTGAACTTTCTTACAGCATGGAGAACACTTTCCATTTGGATTTTGTTTATTGTTCCAGATATTGAGACTAAGATCAAAATTGGACAACCAGCTTCAGAGGAAGAAATTACAGCAAAAATTGAAATGTTGACTGAAGGGTTTGGTAACCCCAAAGAGGATGATCTCCAGAACTCTGAAGGCAGAGAATTCTGTGAATTTGGAGATAAATTGAATAAAAAGTATCAGACCCTTTTTAAAAGAAGACAATATAACTGTGAGGAATGTGGACAAAGCTTTGCTTGGAGTACAGGCCTTATTCAGCACCAGAGAACCCACTGGAAAAAACCCTATGAATGTGATAATTGTGGAAAGGTCTTTCGAATGAGCTCAGCTCTGGTTATGCATCAGAGAATTCATACTGGAGAGAAACCCTATCCTTGTAATTGGTGTATTAAAAGTTTCAGTCGGAGTTCAGACCTTATTAAACATCAAAGAGTCCACACTGGTGAAAAACCTTATAAATGTGATGAATGTGGGAAAGCCTTTAGTCAGAGTTCAGATCTTATTATACATCAGAGAATCCATACAGGAGAGAAACCTTATCAATGCAGTCATTGTAATAAAAGTTTTAGCCAGCACTCAGACCTAGTTAAACATCAGAGAATTCACACTGGAGAGAAGCCTTATACGTGTAACCAGTGTAACAAACAATTTAGTCAAAGTTCTGATGTTATAAAACATCAAAGAATCCACACTGGGGAGAAACCATATAAGTGTGATGTATGTGGGAAACCCTTCAGTCAGAGCTCAGACCTTATTCTGCATCAGAGAATCCACACTGGGGAGAAGCCATATCCATGTAATCAATGTAGCAAAAGTTTCAGTCAGAATTCAGACCTTATTAAACATCGAAGGATCCACACTGGAGAGAAGCCCTATAAATGTAATGAGTGTGGAAAGGCTTTTAATCAAAGCTCAGTTCTTATTCTGCATCAAAGAATTCACACCGGAGAAAAACCCTATTCATGTAATCAGTGCAGCAAAACTTTCAGTAGGCTTTCAGATCTTATTAATCATCAACGAATTCACACTGGAGAGAAGCCTTATCCATGTAATCAGTGCAGTAAAATGTTTAGTCGAAGATCAGATCTCGTTAAACATCATAGAATTCATACAGGTGAGAAACCCTATGAATGTGATGACTGTGGGAAAACCTTTAGTCAGAGCTCCAACCTTATTCTACATCAGAGAATCCACACTGGAGAGAAACCTTATCCATGTAGTGATTGCACTAAAAGTTTTAGTCGCCGTTCAGATCTCGTAAAGCATCACAGAATACACACTGGAGAGAAACCATATGCTTGTAATTTGTGCAATAAAAGTTTTAGTCAAAGTTCAGACCTCACTAAACATCTGAGAGTGCACTCTGGTGAAAAGCCCTATTGTTGTGATAGTTATGAGAAAACCTTCAGTCAGAGGTCTGACCTTATTCTTCATCAGCGAATTCACACTGGAGAAAAACCATATCCATGCACACAGTGCAGCCGAAGTTTCTGTCAGAACTCGGACCTCATCAGACACCAAAGAGTCCACACTGGGGAAAGACCTTATAAATGTAATGAGTGTGGGAAGGCTTTCAGTCAGTGCTCAGCTCTCATCCTGCATCAGAGAATCCACACTGGGGAGAAACCATATCCATGTGACCAATGTAGCAGAAGCTTTAGTCATCGCTCTGAACTCATTAATCATCAAAAAATCCACACAGGTGAAAAAATCATATAAATGTGATGCGTGTGGGAAAACCTTCACTATGGGAACAGATCTCATTGATCACCAGAAGATCCACACTGAGGACAAAATGTACCAGTGTGTTCAGTGCATCATAAGTTTTAGCCAATTCTCTGATCTTATTAATCATGAGAAACTCCATTCTGGGCAAGACAGTTTAAATGTGATGAATGAGGGGAAACCCTTCCTGTATACACCAACTTTATTCAGTTCCAGAGACACTATACCAGAACAAAAATCTTATGAATGCTATTGATGGCCATGAAAAAGGTCTTAATCAATATTTAGCTCTTATGCTCAATTTAAAAACAAAACCCACTGGAGAGAAAACTAAGTCAGTTTTTATAATGACAATTTAATTTGAAGCCCATACATTACTAAAATTAAGAAAAAAAATCTGAGGAAGAGTTCTGAGATTTGTGGGAAACCCTTCAGAGTGAATAATTTTTTTTTTTTTTTACCAATTGTCTGTTAGCAACAATAGAAAGAAAATTCTATCTTTGCTATAATATAAGAAAAGCTGTCTTTTATTCAGAGCTCAGACCTTATTCTGCATCAGAGAATCCACACTGGGGAGAGTTGTATCATTGTAAGAAATATATAATAACATTAATGCAGAAGTTATCAAATATTTTAAAATTCAATGTGTAGAGGTGTTTAATCAAAACTCAAAAGGAAATGTATTAGTTTTAGAATCTCAAATCTTTAGTGAGTCTATATTATCAATGGTATATAGAAATTATTTTAGAGAATGTGGAGAAAACAAATCCCTTTCATATCTAAGTTGGCATTTATATAGATGTCTGACAACTAGAGAGTCCTACCTTATGCTCACGCTAGGTATCTATGCGTTCATCGTGTGTGAACACACTATGCTATTGTGGTATTAAGCTTACTAACTAGATATTCCAAGTGCCCCCTTTTCTCAAAAGTTATTTTGTTTTGGTTTGGTTTGGTTTTTCTAGTAAGCATGAGCTTGTGCGAGTTCCTGTACTATACACAACAAATGCTGATTTATTTCACTGTCAGTAATGCAGCCCATAAACTTTAAAATGTGAAATCACTTTCTCACTGCCATTTAATTACAGCTTTGAAATGTGGAACAGGATTTTTAAAAGCAAATTTATTTGTCAAAATATGAAGATTTTTCTATTACTGCTTATCTTGTCATCTATTGAACAAAAATGGTGGCTGTGATATTGTTATTTATAATAAGAAATATATACAGTATTTCCTCTGTATCCACAGGGTATACCCAGTGGAAGCCTGAAACTTTGGACAGCACTGAACTCTATAATGCAATGCCTTTTCCTTCTTAACTAAGCACTTTTCCTGCACTTTGGCTGTAACTTTTACAATTCGAGATGCAACACCAAAGCTAGAATGCGTTTTTTCCATTCACAATTTCACAGGTAGAAGATTCATTCTTACCATAGATCTTAGCAACCTCTGCATACAATTTTTTTTTCTTTCCATAAATAAAAATTTCACCTTTTTACTAAAGGAAGTGTCTTGGCTTCTCTTTGGTATATCCAAATTGCCAGCATTACCACTATTATGCATTGGGGCCATTATTTAGTAAAACAAGTTACTTGAACACAGTATGATATAAGTCAGTCTGTCTGATGACCAAAACAGCTACTAAGTGACTAATCTGGACAATGATTTAGTCAACCACGCCTACATTAATGAAGCCTTTATAAAAGCCCAAAAGGACAGGATTCAGAGAGCTTCCAGGTTGACACACTCAGAAGGTACTTGGAAGGTAGCCCACAGGGCATAGAAGCTCTGTGTCACTTCTCACAGAATCTTGCCCTATGCATCTCTTCCAGCTAGCTGATCCTGAGTTGCATTATTTTATAATAACCAGTAATCTAGTAAGTAAACTGTTTTCCTGAGTTCAATGAACCATTTTAGCAAAAAATCAAACCCATAGAGAGGGTTATAGGAACCTCTGATTTATAGTCAGTTAGTCAGAAGCACCAGTGAAAATATGAACATGTAATATGTGCCTAAAGTTGCTGACAGTCTTATGAGACTGTCTTTAGCCTGAGAAGTCTGAGAGAACTCCAGATAGATAGTGTCAGAATTGAATTATGTGATATCCCATTGCTGGAGTTCAAAAACCCCACATATCTCTCGTAACAGACATGTGTAAGTATAGAGAAGACAGCAAATTTTTCCTGTACAGAAGCTAAAGTAATGACCTACGTGATTAATTTGTATGGTATAGTCTGTCTAAAAATAAAAAGACCTTTACTCTTGTTTTTCAAGTGGTAGCATTCATCAGACTTTTAAAAAAACTATGTATTGATAAAGGGAAACATACATGCAGAATTTTCAACTGAAAAATATAATTTTTAAAAAGACAAGTATAAAAAATTATCCTTGTCTTTTTGGTGTTAGCCATTTGATAAATTCTACTATCACTTTCTTTGATTATCTCCCATAATTATCTAATTAAATATTTTAATTTAATAGATGTTGTTAAATTATGTAGTCAAGACTTTGGGGGGTTATACTCTATGCAAAGAATATATGATCTCTTCTAATAAAGCATGTATTGCTAGTGATTGAAAAAACACATGGCTCAATGTAATCATAAGATGTTTATAAGAATTCAGAGTAGGGGGCTGAGGTTGTGGCTCAGCACTAGAGTGCTCACCTAGCATGTGCAAGGCTCTGGGTTTGTTCCTCAGCACCACATAAAAATAAATAAATAAAATAAAGGTATTGTGTCCAACTACAACTAAAAAAAAAAAAAAAAAAAAAAAGGAGGAAGAGTAGGAAGGATTCCATTCTGATCAAAAAGAAAAGGGAGCTTTGTGGAGCTCCTAAATTTGTCATCCTTTAAGGTGATCACCTGATCCAGACACTTTAATTTTTCATGCCTATAATTTGTGAATAAGTGTTGAATAAGAAATTACCAGATCTATTATCAGATCTATTAGAGTCAGAGACATCAATATTAACTCATGTATATATTGTATACACACAGAGAAAAGCAACTACAGGACATATGTCTATATATGAGTTAGTACACACACTACCCGGCTCTGTTCTCCAAGGGGACCTAGAAGAAATGATACTCCAGTAACTGAGCCTACCCAGATCTTGGTTTCTAAGTATTATTCTCCAGAAAAGGAATCAGGGCTCCTTTGAGAAATGGATGATTCTAGGGCTAGGACACAGAAAGTGTGAGATGAACTTGAATCATCCTGTAGTACAGAAAATAAACAAGAAATCTAATGACAAAAGGATAAAGGCATGTCAGAAGAGCACAAAGCCTTGGACTGGAGTTGTATCTCAGTGGTAAAGCACTTGCCTAGCATGTGTGAGGCATTGGTTCTGATCCTCTGCACTACATAAAGATAAAAAAATAAAGATTGTGTCCATCTAAAACTAAAATACACACACACACGTGAGTGTGTGTGTGTATGTTTTTTTGTTTTGTTTTGTTTTGTTTTTTTAAGGAGCACAAAGCCAACCTGAAGGCGTTTACAAGGTGGAATATACATGAGTCCATACTATAAGTAAACATGGAAGAGAGAGCTTCCTTATGGAAGAATTCCAAATGATATATTTAGATTCTAACCTCCTCCAGGATGTGGGGGACATATCTGAACCCCAGGCCCTCAGAGGAAACTGCAACTATTGACATGCTTCAAAGAAATGCAGCATGGAAAGGGGAAAATACTAACTATAGTGGAGGAATCTGGCAAAAAGTCTTAACGTAGGGTTTCTCAACCTCACACTCTTGATATTATGGGCCAGATAATTCTTTGCTGTGGTGGACCTGACTTGTCAAATTAAATGTTTACTACTATCCCTCTCCTTATCAACTAAATACCAGTAGCAATTCTTTCCTAGTTATGACAATCAAAAATGTGTGTAAAGGCTGGGGATGTGGCTCAAGCGGTAGCGCGCTCGCCTGGCATGCATGCGGCCCAGGTTTGATCCTCAGCACCACATACAAACAAAGATGTTGTGTCTGTGGAGAACTAAAAAGTAAATATTAAAAAATTCTCTCTCTCTCAAAAAAAAAAAAATGTGTGTGATACTGCCAAATTGCCCTTGAGAGGCTTCTCATCTGCCTGAGAAGCAATACCTAAAGATTATAATAACTATTATTTTTTGTAGATATCATGTACCACTTGGTATGATGCAACTAGAAGATCACTTCAGCTCTATAGTTGTTTTTAGCTTGTTTTTTTGTCTTGAACCCAGGGATACTCTACCACTGAGCTATATTTGTGGTTCTTTTCTTTTTAGTTTTGAGAGAGGGTGTCACTAAGTCATTAAGTTGCTGAGTCTGGGTTTGAACCTGTAATCCTCCTGCCTCAGCCTCCCAAATCACTGGGATTAGAGGAATGCACCACCATGCCCAGCTATAGTATTTAAAAAAATAATTTGTAGTCCCAAAATAACTAAAATCAGAAATGAAAGAGCATTTTACTGATAATACTACAAAAAAAGGAATACAAGAGAGTAATAATTGTATACCAGCAAATTGGATAAACCAGATAAAAATGGAAAAATTTCTAGAAACAATTTACTAATTATATAGAAAATATGAATATACCTATAACTGATAGGACTGAATCAGAATTTTTTTTTGCAGAAAAAAAAACAACAAAAAGCCCAGAGCTTCACTGACATTTAAAAAAGAAACACCAGTTGTGTTAGTCAGCTTTCTGTCACTGTAACAAATACCTGGTATAATCAACATATAAAGAGAAAAGTTTTATTTTGGCTCATAGTTTTGGAGGTTCCAATCCATGATTGTCCTTGTTGCTTGTTGCTTTGACCAAAAGTAGTCAATGTCATGGATAGCCAGAAAGCAAAAAAAAAGACCTTGGGTCTCATACTCCCCTTCAAGGGCATACCCCCAATGACCTAAAGACTTCCCATTTCTAAAGGTTCTACCACCTCCCAGTAATGCCATCTTGGGGACCAAGACTTTAACACATGGGCATTTGGAAAACCATCAACAACCAAACCACAGCACCAAAATTTATTAAAATATTGCAGTACAGGGAATACTTCCAAACTCATAAAATGAGTTTGGAAGTTACCTGTTACCAAGCCAGGTGACTGTTAAAACACACACACACACACACACACACACACAGACCAATACCGTCTGTGAATACTGATGCAAAAATATTTAACAAAATGCTAGCAAAAAAAAAAATCAACACACATTAAAGTAAATCAAGTGTATATTGTTAAATCAAGTGGGACTTAATTTTGAAGTAACACGAATAATCTAACAAAAAAATCAGTCAATATATCATGGAACTAAATGAAAGAAAGAAAAGATAAATCTTATTAGATGCTGGTACATAAATCTCATTAGATGCTGAAAGAACATTTTGACAAAATGCAACACTCTTTCATGATAGTACTCATACTGGAATAGAAGCAAACTATTTCAACATAATGAAGGCTGTATATTAAAAAAGAAAAAGAAAAAACCTAGAGTTGACTTCATATTCAATGGTGAAAATATGAAAGCTTTCCTTTAAGTCAAGGATGGCTGCTTTCATCACTTCAATATAGTACTAAAAATCCTAGCCAGATCAATTAGACAAAAAGCATCCAAATTAGAAAGGTAGAAGTAAAATTATCTCTTTTCAAATTACATAAATCTCTCTTTGCAGATGACATAATCTTATATACAGGAAACACTTAAGATCTCTCTCTCTCTCTCTCTCTCTCTCTCTCTCTCTCACACACACACACACACACACACACACACACACACGTCTGTTAAAACTAATAAACTAATGAAACAAAGTTTCAGGATACTGCTGGGGACATGTGCAAGATCCTGGATTTGATCCCCAGCACCACAAAAAAGAAAAAAATACAAAATTAACATCCCCAAATAAGTGATATTTCTACACACTATTAATGAACAATATACAATCATACAGTCTGAAAAGAAGGTGAAAAAAACAGCTCTGTTTATAATAGCACCAAAGAAAATAAAATACTTATGAATAAACTTAACCAAGGTGTCCTGAAAACAACAAAACACTGCTCAAAGACACTTGTTAGTAACTTTCCATTGCTATGACAAAAACACCGGAGAAACAGCTTAAAGGAGGAAAGATTTATTTTGGCTCATGGTTTCAAAGGTTTCAGTCATGGTCAGTTGGCTCCATTGTCTGTGTCCCTCGTTAGGCAGCTGGTAACAGTGGAAGGCTGTGGGGAAGCACAGCTGCTTACTTCATGGCAGCTTGGAAGCTGAGAGAAGGTTTAAGGGGCTGCGGACAAAATATACCCTTCAAAGGCACACCCCCAGTGACCCACTTCTTCCAACCTCCTAAAGTCTCCACCACCTGCCAATAGTGTCATTGGCTGGGGACTAACTCTTTAACACATGAGTCTTTGAAGAACATTTTAAGGTTCAAACTATAATAAAATTAAAGAAGAAAACACATATAAGTGGAAAGATAGGTACAATTCCTATCAAAATCCCAATGACAAGTTTGCAT